GCCCTCACAAGGTTGTAACTATAGCAGAGTCGTCGTACAATCAAGAAGTCCCCACCCGATTGGCTCAATCGTCATCAAATCCCCGATCTGGTATAAAAATTGCCCGGAATCTGAACAACCGGCCATCCGAAAGCTGTGCAGTAATTTTAAGGATCGCGCTAGCGGCAGATTCTAATGAAGGTTGTTTCATCAAATCCCCACCACCTTTAGATCAGGCACTGGTAACCCGCCGCGACGACCACATAGCCCACTCAGCTGAGCGGATGGGAACGGCTCCGACGGACCGCGACCACTGCAACGATGAAGGCCACAAGGACCACTGAGAAGGTAGCATCAACGCATCGATTAATCGGGTGCTGTCGAAACGTTTGGATTGACAGCAGGGCACGGGTAGTTCCAAAGACAGGAGTGTCGACGCCAAGACGGCGTGGGCGACAGTCGGAACAGCCATAGGCGGCGGTCTAGGTGACGAATCTCTGTTGACCGGATCAGGCTATACAAATCTCTCTCTTATTTGTCTGGACCAGGGTCTCGTTTAGCTCCGCCACTCATCTCGGCTGGCTTTTGTCCTTGACTGACGTGACGATACTGCACCTATGAGATTCTGACGCATTTGCTGACGGTTCCTAGTCTTGTAGTTTCTAACAATATTCCCCTTGACCATTGTAGGTACCATACTGGAATATACCATGAATCATGAGACCCGGAAGATCCTGAGACCTACGTGTTGACTCGCAGGAGCAATCGAAAGGCGGGCGGATGAGCAGCCACAGTGAGCATCCCCACGCAAAGATTCATGGTTTTGAGGGGAGTATCATTCCTCGACGTGTGACTACTACCCACAGGGAAGAAAGTCTTCGATGGCGTCCTTCTGTGGAACAAAAACTACTCGCCCGTCATGTGATGGCACATATTCGGCAATACTTGAAGGGACGTTGTAAGCATGTCACAATCTTCGCGGATCGCTCACTCATACGCTCAGCGCCCATGGAACACCGTCCTGAGCCCAGTGACAGCAGCAGCCCGGACGAGGAGCTCTTGTCGGCACCTCCTTTCACGGCGATAGGGCTGTCCATGCCATCAATATCATGGCTGAACCAGCAGCTGGAGTCAGATGGCGATGATAGACCTGACATGGGAGGCGAAAAAGATTCCCAGCGCGAACAACCCCAGGATACCGGAGATGCCCTCTGCCAGGTTAGTCCTCGTTCGGAAGTCCTTTTCTGTACAGCTTCTCGGGGATACAAACGACAAACTGTCGGGTGAGTGCCAGCATTCCTCCGTCTGTGGACATGCCCTGATCGATGCCTTTCCGGCGTAAGACTAAGTTTCGTGGCAGCACCCTAGCTCCCAGAGCGCGCCCAAGGAGAATGGCTGCACGCTCACGTGGCATCCCGTATATTGATTTTACCGCGGAGGCGCCAAAGCTGAAGCGCCAGCTGGAGCATGCCAGAAGTCGACGACAAGCGTTGGGTCGAGCGGGTCAACGAAGCAGTGGGGAGTACATGGCACTGTCTCGCGAGATAGAAGGGCTTTTGGCTCTGGTCACACCCAGCCGATCCCTGCGGCAGCCAATGAAAAGAAGACGCCTGAAGCGACAGTTCCCCGTTGGTGTTCACTCCAAGGCACCAGCGGACTAATGCGTCATTCGCAGGATACAAGGGAGGTTTGCGGAGCATGTCCTCTCTTTCGTGATGGGATATGCTTCTTAGGAATGGTGTAGCCTGATTATGGTCAATTTTATTTTACATGATGTAGGGATTGATACTCAGCCCGTGATAGAGTAAAATGAGGGTAGATCGTCGCTACGGGTAATACTGACCGGAGAGTCGACAAAGTTCAGAGAATGGTAACCTGAGATCACTATAGCGTAGTAGGAGCGACAGCGTCTCTCGATAATTCAGGAAAGTTGTTTTGTTCTGGACCATCGCACCCGCGTGCTTGGTAAGAGGCCCTCAGGTTCTTGCCTGTTACCCGGCACCCAGCCATCATCTTGTAGGTCGGAATCTGAAAACTGAGTTAGACGGGCTAACTCGCCCAAATTACCAAGCACCGTGTTTATTTACCCCCCACATTCGGCTGCAAGCATCTAGATGAGGGTCCAGATGACATGACACCCGATGGGATACAAACACTCCTCCACTCCCCAGACTATCGATCCTGACCTGCAGGATGCCTCCAACGACATCTCCCTGGTACGACCGAATCTCCCACATATCGCAGACTGATTGGTATGGAATATGCGCCGCAATCGCTCTGGCCAGTTGGCTCGTATGGTGTCTGGCGTCCCGTGGTGGCCGGTGGGCGATTCGATGGCACGTGATGCAATTACGGCGACTCCTTGCCTATCCCCTGCCGAGACCGTTCGGCCACCTCGATATGGCCACTGTCCAACAGGGCTCAGTGGTCGCGCTCCTGCTCACGGTGAACATCCTGCCACTGGTCTTGCGGGCTCGATCCTGGGCGACCGTGCACCGCCGCGCCGCCAACCTCGCGGTCATGAATTTCATTCCGTTGTGGACGGGCTGGACCTTTGGGTTTCCAGCGCATCTTCTAGGCATCGATTGGTCGGCGGCAGCCTGGACGCATCGATGGGTCGGCCGGATGGTCATCATCCACTCCGTCCTCCACGGAGCGATCGCGATCCTGGGTGACGGCCAACCGGTGCAAGCTATACGACAGCATTACGTTCCAGTTCTGGTGAGGCATTTGCTCTGATTCCCAGAGGATTCCATGTGCAGTTTCCCCGGATATCGGTCGTCCGCTAACCAGAATCAGGCAGCGTGTTCGATGATCTTGATCGTTCCCGTGACGCTGCATGCCGTGGTTCGCCGTTACCCGCAGCTGGCGATGAAGTGTCACTACCTCTTGGCAGTAACCGGACTGGCTTCGATGTCCTACCATGTCTGGATGCGCCGGTCAAAAAGCCTCTGGTGTTTGGTGGCGGCAGCGGCTCTGTGGATGTTCCTGAGTCTGGCTTCCTTGGCTGTTCCCCTACGAAGACGCTGGGGCCACACCTGGCCTTCTGTTGTCATATCCCAGCACGATGAGCTTCTCCGTATGGACATCGCCGTCCCCTCTGCGTGGAAAGTCGAGGCCGGCCAATATGTGTACCTCTGGCTGCCACAGGCAGGCCTGCGAACTGCTAGTCAACTACCGCTTTTCTATGTCTCATCTTGGGAAGATACGCCGGGGTCCAACGACGCAAGGGCATCAACTGCCGAACAAGGGGTGGAATTGAGACAGGTGGCGACAGCGGCAGAACGCGATGCAGCCGTGCCCACTGTCAGCCAACGGCATGGATCGAGAGGGAGGACGTCCTGGTATACTGCGATGGGTCACCGAACGCTACGGGTGCTGGCCCGCCCGCAGTCTTCGGCACTGGCGGCGGCGCTCTATAATGCCAAGCATCTCCACAATATTCCACACAGCGCGCTCGTGCTGGGACCGTATGGGCGACCGCCGGATCTGGCCCCCTTCGGGATCGTGCTACTGATCGTAGAGGATATCGGGATTGCGCGAGTCTTTTCGCTCATCCAGACCCTGGTCATGGCGAGTGAACAGCACCGCGCTATGGTCCGGAAGCTCATCGTGGTTTGGCAAATGGAGGACTTAGGTACCGCGCGTCGCAGCACCGCATCCTGTCTCCCCGAACGGTGGGCTGAGCTAACACGGTCTAGATAACCGTCGGTGGGTGAACATGCAGCATTTGCTGGACCTCGATCGCCAAGAATTCAAGGTACCACGACCGCCGACCAGCCCGCGATCCATAGGCTGACCGTGATAGATCCTCCGATTCGTCCTCTACTACCGTCGAAACCGCAAGAATGAGCCCTCGCGGAACCCCGGCACGAGGGTCCGATTCATGACAGGGTCTGTGGATGTGGCACAGACGATAAGGACATACCTGAATACGCGTCGGGGGAGTATGTTGGTCGGCGGTATGAACCCTCTTTGAGGTTTGGGAAAAGCTGATGCGTCCGATGAAGTCATGCTAACGAATCACTGTCTCCAGTTTGTGCTCGACAGTCGATCCGCAACCAGGTCAAGGCGATCGTTCAGCCCAGCTTGAGTGATGACCTCCGGCTCCTGGATCTTGACGTTGAGCCGTGTCATCGGTGGTCGAACACTGACACAACGGTGGCCGACACTACGGGACCATCCAGAAACCACGTCCAATGGGTCGCCTCCAGAATAGCGGAAGGCCGTGGTCATTCCCGATGACCGATGTCCCAACGGCCCCTTGTTTGACGGGCGCCCGTCCAAGTTTGATTACTTTACCAGATTTCCCTTACATGTCTTGATCTTACGGACGTTCTCATGCCAACATAATCGACATCGATTTCTCGCGCGACAACGGTCACTTCGGGTCCGAAGCATGCTTCTAGCCCAGTAATTCCGCAATCGAACGGTCCATAGTATCAACTCCGCTCCTTCAATATCTTCGCGTTTGCGCAGCCCGTCCGACGGAGATACGCTATTGGATCGCGGAAGTGTCGGCAATGGTAGGTCCGTGAACGCGTGCCACAGCAACGTTGGCATCGTAACCGGCCAGACGGTGCAGCCGATGAGACTCGTGCATTAGCGCCTCCGCGGGACCGAGAATCAGGGACCCGTGGCACGGATGTGACGCGTCGGTGGTTGATACGGCCCTCTTGGTCCGGGACGCTTCGTACGCAAGGCTGGCTGTCAGCGAGTGCTCTGAGCCTCGTTCCAGAAAGTGCGCATACCTCGCGGCCAGGGGAGCGTGCACTCCAAGCTTGCACAAGACCCAGTTCATGTTGTGATTGCGGTGCGAGAGTGGATGCAACCAACAGTCCCGACTTCAGCTGGAGGCCATTTATTGGGGGAAGATCAAGATCATGGTTACCCATGTCTGGATGCAAACGGTCATCCTCGTTCGGGCAAACGCATCGCGCGGACAGCCCGGTGTCACAGCCCGTTGTGCGGGCGGTTCGCACCCGGCACCCGGCACCCGGGTACTCGCCAGCCTTACGCTTGGCCGTCTCTCGTGTAGCTGCGGTCGATTCATAGCGTGAGTCACTGAAGAAGCAATTGCAGCCGGGGGTGGGTGGAAAACAGCTAACCAGGGCAATATTGAAAGGTGTTTGGAGTTGAAGGAGCTCTGGTCAGACGCGATCTACCGCCGTCAGGCGCCTTCCTGGCCGTCCGGCGGTCAGAGTCCTTGGAACGGCATCCTTTGCTCCCTGGCTTTGCTCTGCCTCGTTTGAGGACACGTCTCGAAATCTGCGGAGGCGGACGAAGCGGGGCCGGGGAAATAGAAGGGAATACTTACATGAAGACAACTTCATCTTGAGGGTTCCGGACGTTGAACGAAAATATGCGATGACATGCCTGGTCAGTGACGCGCAGTATCGTTGGAACGCGTCGGGTAGAAGTGAAGGTTTGTGGGGGTCGCGCGCGTGGCGTGACCTGTGTCCACGAACGCGCGAGCCAGCCAAATGAAGGCCATCTTACATAATGGTCATATTGCTTGGCCGGGGCACGAACCATGTAACCGATCAGGTAAGACAACGGAAGGGGCAGCAACAACCATCACAGAATGTATGCAACCGCCTGTCGGTTAGCTTCCTGGGCTGTTGTCCCGTGCATATGGAGACTCCCCGGATAAGTTGCGGCGTGCAGAATTGTGGAATCCAAGCTTCGGGTAGCTTGGACAGATACGTCGCTGGCGGGAGATTGAGTCTGACCGGCTTTGTTCAGCCTATCGCACGCGAGACTTTACAGTCGGAGCACACGATGCGCATTCAAATGACGATTATTTCCGTCCCTCATCTTCCCCTGCGAAGAACTACGAAATTCACCCACCTGCATCGCCCGATAGAACCAATATGCAAGTCGATGAGATGTGATTTCGGTCTCTGGGTATTGAATCGAGGAGAAGGGTGTAGCACGCACCCTGCTAGTCACCCTTGATGATAACGATGGTCACTGAATATATATATATCTTGCTTCCGTGCTGGACGGGAGGGACTTGGACGGGAGGGACTTGGACACATCACCTCTCCCTGAAGGAATTATATCGCATTATTGCGTAATATACTGTAAAGCAATAGGACGAGCAGAAGCTGCTGGATGGGCGTAGTAAGCCTCATTGTTCCTGCACCGGGGAATTATGGTCGAATCCAAAGTTGTCATTCTTGTTTTGACGCGTTGGAGTTCTGAGATGACCCCGAATTTGAGCCCTGTTCAACCTCCCAAAACGGATTAGTGGCACTATCTCACGGTCCAGGAAGATCGAATATGGTGGAACCCACGATCGGCGGGTACCCCCTGCATTGCCTGGGCTATTTCCATGTTTACCTACTCCGTACACATAAGATATCTCACCTGCCGAATAACCGACAACAGGGCTGCATGGATTCTTTGCTGGTCATAGGTCGGGGCAGAAGATGTGCCTGTTGCTGGCGGCTCCATGGTTCGATGACCGGTCAATGTGGGAACCCGAGTGGAGTGACCAAAGGCAAGGGACGTTTGCAACCAGTCACGCGACGAGCGTGTCTACGGAGATCGGGCCACGCTGGTGGGATGAAGGGCAGCTGCTCGGTGGTTTCTGCTTGCCAGAGCTGCAGCGGAAAACCCGGCGAGAGCAGACCATAGGAAAGGATCAGCTCACACGTTATGCAAACTGATTCCGATGACCGGGTGATCTCGTTGAGAACACCGCCACGAATTGGAAAAGGACGACAGAAAATTATGAGAGTTGGGGATGTGATGGAAGAAAATAACCGGGTTCTTCAATTTGAAATTTCGGGTGGATACGCCCTGGTCAAAGCTCGGGCATGTCTCCGCTCCGCTCCAGACCGTCAACACCGGTTCTACTTCAGTGCGATCGTTTTTCCTACTGGCAGCATCCATCGCGCCAGGGAAAGCCCAGCTTGATCACGATGAACCGCCACGGCCCTTGGCAATGCCTGGGCAAGATCGCCCGGTTATATGTACCGTCTTCCGAGACACGGATGTTTGCACGCGTCAGAATACCGCGGGGATGAAACTGTAGCTTTCGCTGACTACCCGTTTCAGCGGCGAGACGAGCGCGATGTTCCATGGTCCCTTCTATTCATTTTCATTCTCTCTTACTAGATTTTATTCCGAAAAGCCAAATAAGTGTTCGCTTGCCCTGGCGGCAAATACATTCCTTTGGTTCTTTGTTATTCCTTATATCTTCAATATGAATATCGCCTCGCTACTCAATAATCCGACCTTTTCAGCCCGTAACGCTAGCACTGAAAACTTTCTACCAGAGTCCAATGGTCCCTGGTCCGAGAAAAGATCAGGCATGCCTTGGTCTACAGATGAGGCTAAACTGGCTACTCAATTAAGAGCGGCTGGGGAGTCCTGGGGAGATATTAGTCGCAAACTACCAGGTCGTTCTCCTCATGCTTGTTCTGAGTATTATCGCCGCAAGAATCCATTGTCACGGACTACGCCCTATAAGAACAGGAAGAACTGGACTCCAGAGGACATTACCCTTCTAATAACGTTGGCTGAGAACAGAACATCATGGGGGGAAATCGGCAGTAGACTAGGAAGAGGAATGGCCGCATGCCGTACGCAATATTATCGGCTTACTGGAGGCGGAAAGTTGGAAAAGGAAAGATTTAACTCAGTAAGTCAATACCAGTCTCTAACCCAAGATCGAAGCTTAAAATGGAGTATATAGGCCGCCCCTCGACCTGGCTCCTCAGCTCCGACTTCTGCTCGCCGGCTATTCACACCTACGACGACGACGAGCAGCAACAGAACATCGACCGAGATCTCTTCTGCTGTCGGAGCAACCTCAGCAGTCTTCTCGGCAGGACTAGTCAAGTGGACGGCAGAGGAAGAGCAGGCGAACAATGAGTTCTGGGGCAACTATCTGAATAGACCGAAGCTTGAACCACCAACCGAATCGTTCGAGACATGGTGGGATAGAATGCGCCATATGCAGGAACAAACAAAGATCATGACCCAAGACGCGGAACTCGTGGTTCCGGCTCATGTTAGGGAGAAGTGCTGATAAGATTTCGTTCTCCTATGTCGACCAAGATTTATCAGCTGAGTGCGGAGCGCATTGGGGTACCGACCAGGCGGCTCCCCTTAGACCTCCCAGAGGTTTTGAAGGCAGAAACAGCAGACGGTTGGCAGACAGATCCCCGGCCACAGGGTCCCAACCGCGGTGAGTACTTCCCTCCGGATGGCCACCGACGAGCGTCGCGGCCCTAGTCGCTCCACAAACTGCGCCAAACACTTGTGGACCGCATCACAATGCCGATCCGGGTGAGGGTCTTGGCGGATTTCCCACGCTGCCCGACAGTGCTCTCGATATAGGCTGTCGTAGACGTCGTCCGCCCGGAACCTTAATCTGCGTCAGCACGTACCACGCTCTCTTGTTGCAGCTGGGAGGGGTCCGGGGCGAACGGGTGCAAAGGGGTGAAAGTTCATAGCGAGGGAGAAGGCGGTGGGAGGAGGGCGGCTCACTGTGCATGCCAGCAGGGTAAGCATCTATCAGCAGCGCGGATGCGACGACGATGTGGATGTCATGTGGCGGGCAGCCAGCTCGTGACGCGTAAGCGAGAAATTCCGCAAGACGGGGACCCAGCGATGGATCGACCGGCAACTTCTCCCGCGCGATTCGAAGGCAATCAATGCGGGCCTCGGGAGTCACTAGCTGGCCCCCGCAAAGGGTCCGATTCCAGAGATGATTCAAATGCTGGGCAGAGAAGAGTAAACCCTGCTGCATCCGCTGGTCCTGGCTGATCTGGATCTGGTCCAGCAGGGTACGCCGCAGCGGCTCAAACGCGGCGCGAGGAGACAGGTCGTGGCGATCTCGAAGCTCCAGGATGGAGATTGTCGGATCCGAGGTGTCAGGATTGGGGAAACCAGATGACAGCCCCTCCCACGGATCCGTGTAATATTCGGCGCTGGGATCGGTCAGGACCATGATGACGCCGTTATTCCATGCGGCAGCATGTGGCCACGGACAAATAGTGGAATTCTTTCTCAAGACGGACCAGGTCAATGTGAATTCAGAAGATAACAGCGGCCGGACACCTTTGTCTATCGCTGCGTCACGAGGCCATATACAAGTGGTAGACATGCTGGTGAGACATCGACGAGTGGCTGTAGATGCGAGGGACTAAAATCTTCCAGCATTGGTAAGGATGGGCAGCCACCGCGTCTTCAATGTTCAGAGAGTTGGTGCGTTCGGTATCATCGGACGAACCGCGCTGCCATCGTTCCCAATCGGTCACAGAATAATGTTTTGCGAGGCGTACTAGAGCATGGGCTAAGGCGATGATTAGCATTCTTGGTTCATCGACCGGGTCATGGAGAGAAAGATGCAACGTACCATCATTTAATAATCGCCAGCAGTCGGCAATGGTTGTCGGGAAGTCTGGAGAGAGGGCGAAGGTAGATTTGCCAGCGACCAGAGTTGGGGCGTAGATCGGTTCGATGGAATCCCTCAAGCGGTTGCCAGAGCATTGATTTGTCTCGCAGAACCATTCTCGATCCCACGTTGAAGGGATTTGACCTGGCTCTGAACGTCCTTGACGTCTTTTCTAAGCTCTTTCAGGTCCTCTTCGACATCGTCCAAACGGTCAGATAAATCAGTGAGAGCCTCCTTAGCTCCGTGCTCAAATCTTTCCACTTTGTGGTCCACCTTTTCTTCCCATCCACTGTTTTTATATCCTGCCTCGTTGCCTCTATTTCGACGGACCAAAAACCATGCTCGCTATACAAGTTGGCGGTATAGACGCCCACCACATCGATCGCAGCGTCGAACTAGGGAGACTCATTCTGAACGTTTCGAGCGCGTTCCGGGAGCGATATCTCTGGCACCTGATGTGAATGCTTTCTCGCAGCGTCTTGGAGAGCACGGACGGAGGTAAGAGAGTCGGAATTTAGAGGTGGCGCCATCTGTTCTGGGTCAAGCGGATGATTATGTTTGAAAAGGAGGGGGGATCGTAAACAGCTATCAGCCGACCAGCGACGATAGCGACGACGTTGGAGAGTAGATTTGATGGATAACAACGACGACTCCGGACCGAATTCGCCCAAGTCGAGGGAAGGGAGTCGAAAAAGGGTGAGTGCACGCAATGGCTGGCTCACGTGGGAAAGATGTGACTCGATCCCTGCCTGACCGGACGCGGCAATTTCCTCGGAAATCGATGCGACTGGAACGAAGTATTCTAATGTCGGCTGTTGCTTGCTCTGCCAGGTGAGCGTATCTCATAGGCGAGACATAGTTGGTTAAAAACAGATACCAATCGTCTTCCTCATGCGGCGATGGGCAATTGGTATAGCCAGGTGTGGCTTACTTTTAGATTTATCAATGCGTGCAACTCCTTATTGTTCGAACCCTTAGGCGGTAGATTCTGGCAGAAGTCTACCGAAGTCATCTCGGCCCAATGAGCACAGAGATTGAGACACTAATCCTTGATAATTCATTTTATTCCTGTTCCCGTCCCAGAAATGAGCTTATATGATTATGTCTAGTACCCGGTCACCAGATTATGAAGCTCTCTTCTTAAAGGAGGCTAAACTGCGAAAACAAGCGGAACGGCGCAACCAGCCTACAACTTTTGAGGAATTTATTCGTGCCCGCCACGCCCTTCTCTCGATGCCTTTGAAAGTCGAAACGCCGTCTCGATCCACACGAGATACAATACCACCGCCGACTTGGAACTACTGTCCAACACGGCTTCGCCTGTGGGAGGACTGTCCAGTTAGGCAACAGGCAATCTACAACGCGGTCCGCAGCTGCCTGCAGCTAATAGGGCAGGATGCACCAGGGTTGTTTTCATCTCTTGTCGCGCTGGAAGATAGGAAAATATATTGTGGAATCCTGAATTGGATCGAGCGTTGATGGCTTTCACCGCTCTAGCCTAGATTATGGTCCAGTCAAGGAGCGCGTGGCCGGCATCAAGAGATCACTATGGGGAAATGGTGGTAAGGGATCGAAACGAGGGCGTGTGAATTAATCTGCTGTCTTGACCTACCGACTTCAGCGCCATCGTCGTGCCCCAAACGCATACTTAGAATCTGGTGGAACGCGGTCGCGAGGTCGGCTAAATCATCGGACACTCCAGCACGGGACTTTGACTTTAGCACTACGAGGGCAAAGTTATTTCTCCTTAAGGCAATTCAAGCTTGCCTTCTTCGGTGCTAAGACATGTCACTCAACCTTCCTCGCCTTAGCCCTGCACGCAAGGAGTGGCGAGGGAAAGCACACCCCAAGCGGGTCAGTCACGACCCTATTCCCATGCAACATCTCGAACAACGCCAAATATTGATGACCAATTCGTGACCCGCAATATCTCCTCTTCCACGAGCGTGCTGATCTCTCTCCTGCTCCTGCAAGGAGTCAACTAGAGTATAACTTGCAGCAGGACTCACTTAAGCCGCCAATCATATGTCTGCTTTCTACCATCGTCGCCTCGAGATTTATTGACGGCCATCAGTCGTCGAATTCGTACTCGGTCTCAGCCGGGCGTTCGTCGACCGCGTTAAAAGGAGAGATACCCTAGACTCGGATTGAAATCACGGAAAGCCAGCACGAAAGCAAGGAATGGGCCGGGTCATGTCATCTCCATCAGCCCAACGATCAACGCGCCAAGCTCATCATACCGACTATGGCCAGTATCAACAACATGCGGCTCGATTCTGCACGCAGCCATCCGTTTTAATGAGTGATAGCAAATCAGCACCATCCTCATTCCGCCAGGTGCTAAGACGCCTCCTTTAAGGGTGATATTGGTTGATCAGAGTCCGCACTGACCGCTATTAACGCTAGCGCATGCAGTCGATTCGTAACCCATACAATACCCAAAGGTTCAGAATCCGACGACATGCAGGATGTAAAGGGGAAAGCTGGACCCAGTCCTCTAGCCTCAAAGGCCAACAGGTGCATGGAAGTCTACCAATACAACCCGTTTACGTGCTTCCTGCCACTGCAAGTGCTGTGTAACACCCCTCCCCACTTTGACAACCCCACATTTAATCTCTATCCATCTTCCTGATCAATTCTTGCTTATCAGAGTAATGGGAGCAACTCTTATACATAGCAAAACGTCGGTTTATCGGATATAGGACGTTATAGAGCGCATGTACCAGGACTAGGTAAAGTTCTCGTTGATTAAAGATCTAACTCTACGGATTTTCGCTGTCTGCCTAAATCTGCGTCTCTCATGGATGATTAGGCTGCGCTACAATCCCCAGCCAGGTGAGAGGTCATCAAGATGGCGTCTCGTACTGATTGGCTCGCCAAACTTTTCGACCTTGTCCTTCGCGGCAAACGACCTGTTACGACTGTCGATAACTTTACGCTGCTAGTGGAAGCGATTGTCGGAAAGAACAACCACGCAGTGTGTGTTGAGCGCATCGTCGCCAACCCCGCTGCCCGAAACGTCATCCACGGAGGTATCGATTCAACACCACGTCCGACTTCTTGAACAAACACACAGCTTTATTGCTGCGATATCTTTCTGATCCTTCTGTCAAGGCACTATGTAACGGCCAGCAACTGCGACATATTCTGGAATTAGTTATTGAGCCGTGCACTGTGTGGAATGCCTTCATGAAGGCCTTCCCAGCGCAGAGCCTTACAGAACCGGTGGTCCAAGCCTTTGCATGGCTTATGATCGAATGTCTCACTCACGGGTCTGCCGACCGGGCAGATGTGGTAGATGGTGCTGAGATCGTGATCAGCAGTGGCTCTCTCTTGAAATCAACATTACCTGAAACTCGCGTTGTGGCCATAAGCTGAAACAAATGTTGGAACTCAAGGCAAGCAACACAGTCATTGAGAATTGAGACTATATTCCAGGAGGTCGGCATGACAATGACCACGCCGACTTTCGCCAGATTGCAATCTTTCGACGCGTTCGAGTACCGAGATGACCCCAAGTTGAGCCCCCTGGTCAACTTCCCAAAAGGGATTAGTTGCACGATCTCGCGGTCCAGGAAAATCGAACATGGTGGAAGCCACGATCCGCAGGTCCCCCTGCTTTGCCTGGGCTATTTCCATGTTTATCTACTCCGTACATATAAGATAACTATCTCTTCTGCCGAATAACCAACAACAGGGCTGCATGGATTTTTTGCTGGTCACGGGTCGGGGCAGAAGATGCTACGACGCCTGGTCAATGTGGGAAACAGAATGAGACCAATTGACCAAGGAACAAGGGACGTTTGCAAGCAGCCACACGACGAGCGTGTCTACGGAGATCGGGCCACGCTGGTGGATGAAGGGCAGCTGGTCGGTGGCCTCTGCTTGCCAGAGCTGCAGCTGAAAACCCGGACGAGAGCAGACCGTAAAAATGGCTCAGCTCACACGTTATGTAAAGTGATTCCGATGACCGGATGGTCTCGTTGAAAAAACCGCCATGAATTGGATGGACGATAGAAAAGTATGAGAGTTGGGGATGTGGAGGGAAGAAAATAACCGGTTTCCTCAATTTCTGGGGGACCGTCATCACCGGTTCCACTTCAGTGCAATGCTGCATGGAATACCCGGGCAAGAGCGCAGACGACTAGGCCAGTCTACCTGATCACTGCGATGACCGGGTATCTTTTTTGTTTTTTTTTTTTAAAAAAAGAACTTGGCCAATATCACCATGACTTGAATGTTTATAATAAGGCTCAAAGCTAGGGAATTCTGAGTCCTGGTCGAAGATGGACCTTGGATGGAAATACCCGGGCATCTATCTTCGTGATTCCTGGTGGGTCCTGGTCAGGCAATTCTCTGCTTCAGACTACCTACAGTGCAGTCTGTTTCTACTCCAGAACAGCCCCCTTTATTTATTTATTTACCAGCAGCATGCGTCGCTGGGAAGGAGAGCCCAACCAAGTGCAATGTGCAGGAAGGAAAGGGGAATATCGTGTAGATACCCGGGTAAACATGCCCGATCACCATTACTAAACGGCCTTGGCCATTGGCTAGGCAAGATGTAACCGTCAGAAATGCCCGCCGTCTGGCCGGTTATTCTGAACGTTATTCTGAACCGCAGCCGTCGTCCAGTTAACACACGGGTGTTTGTGCGCGACTCGCCGGCAGACGGCAGTCAACTATCTGAGTCATTACCGAAACTTCTTGGCTGGATGAAGGTAATAGGGAAGAATTGGAAGACACAAGGGTTTGTTCGTATACTCAGACCTGATAATTAAGTATGGAGCGAACGTACCTTTCCCTAGCAGTTCTAGCAGGAAGCACCATCGAGCAACTAGCCTTCATTTCACAGACACAGCCCAACCCTCCTAGACATACTCATCGTTCCGCCATTTTCATGCCCCCCTTGCCTTCGGCCGACTTGCTTCGCTCGGGTATTTACACCGGAGCCACCAGTAGCAGGCTCCTGCACCTGCTGCCCCAACCCATGACCAGCAAGGACCATGCGTTCCTGTAGGTAGATGTAGAAACAGCCAGGGCAATGCAGAGAAGACTCCCGTCAACGAAAACCGGGATATAACCCACCTTGTCGTAACCAAGACTAGCATAACACGCAATAAGACAGGGATCAATAACGTGTACAATGACCATCTGGTCTGACTATAAGCCAGTGATGAGTGCTATGAATATTGCAGAATAAAGAAATCCAGGTATGCATGCTGGTGAACCCCTCTACATGTGTTCAGGCAGGTTCCTGTTCCTCGGAGATGGGTGTTCTTCGGAGCCATTGCACTACTTTGGAGGCCAGCTTCGCATGGTCATGCATTGTTGTACATTCGGATACGTAGTTCAGATATACCACAGAGTATCAAACAATGGCCCTCAAACTTCAAGTTATACATACGACAGCAACCCTACGGTTATATATTTTAAATAATAATTAATAAAGTACTTTCTAACTACTTAGTAATTATAAGGCTGTCAGCCTAGATGCTTCTGACCATTCTATTAATACTGATCTCACTGCAAACATCACCAGGGTTGGGACCCCATTATGTTGCGGTGGCTCTCTCTTCAATGACTGATACGAGCACACTAAGCTTTGAGAATCATAGCTAGGCCCGCGTGGATCCTAAAAGCAGCACCATGCTCCTTGGTTTGACAGACATCGCAGTGGTCTCACCGCCGACCATACGCCAAAAGATCATCAGCTACAATCCTTGTATCCTTGTCTTTTTCGAGTCTTCCACCCGAACTTGTGCTCCATACGGCCTCTAGTCTTCACAGCGCACGGGATATTTATGCCTTGATGAGGGTGAATAGGGGCCTTTACCAACTGCTAAAAAAGTATCTATATCAGCATAATGCGGACCACGAAAACAGCATCGGCCTTGTCCGAGCAGTGGGACTAGGGAGTTTATCCGCCACATGTTGTTTCCTCAGCCTACCACGGGTGAACGTGCATGTCCGAAACGATGCCGGACAGACGATACTCCACGTCGCAGCGCAGCAACCTGACAAATTCTACATTATGATGATTCTCTTGCGGGATGGTCGTATGGACGTTAATGCGACAGAGTCTGAGAGACGGACACCGTTATCTTATGCAGCATCGGCTGATGACTGTCGCCTACTCGACATCTTACTACGGCGCAACGATATTGATGTTAATATGGCCGATGTTCAAGGCAAAACGGCGTTTTTCTACGCGGTCGATGGGGGACATAAAGAGGCTGTAAACAAGCTCCTCGACGACGCGCGCCTAGACCCTAATCTAACTTCTCACGATCTCACGCCCCTGGCGATTGTCGCAGGCAGCGGTTCGATGGAGTTACTGGAAATGCTGTTGAGTGACCATCGTGTGGCTGTCAACAGCCAAATACACGGGTCCGTGGACCCATTAATCTGGGCATTATTTCAAGGAAGTGAGGGAAGCAGTCTTCGGCTGCTATGCGCACCCAACGTCAACGTCAACTGCTGCTGTGGTACTATGAGTGCGCTGATGTGGGCTGTCATATTAAAACAAACGGAAGTTGTGGTTGAGATCCTGAAACATGATCAGATTGATGTGAATCACCGAGATAATGCTGGTCGCACAGCATTAATGCTCGCAATAGAAGAGGGAAACGACGAAGTATCCATGGCCTTGCTGAATAGAAAAGATATCAACCTCACCCTTAAAAATATTAGGGAAGAGAGCGCACTGGACTATGCACTGAAATCAGGTAACTCAAAGACGCTGGGAAAAATCAGAAAAGGGTTAACTGGCTCTGACCCATGATGTACTAATCTAATGCGTCCGTAGTGGTTAATCTGCACCTGGAACTTTCAAGGCACAAAGCGTGTGGCTGCTAAACTTTTTTTCTTAGAACTTAAGCTTTTAGAATGCAGTGGGCGTACTGACTTGAAATTTGGACTTCCTGAATTGATACTCATCCCCAACGGCTGCACATCTACTTGGAGCCAACGTATGTCAAGTGCCAGTGGAACAAGTGAAATCAAGGATAACTAGGGTCTTTTTGGTAAGGACCGGGGTCTATCATGTATACCACTTCATGGTCCAGTATTGGGTTGACACTTGTAGTGTACTATATAAATTTTCTAATGATGCCTCTTCTATGGATTCTATTTCCATTTGTCACTCACCCCCTTCTGTTACCTCAACTAGAAGGGAAAAAGAAGGCCCTGTATCAGTTTTCGGAGAACAGACAAGGGTTTAATGGAACACAGTGATTCTAATCGGAATTAAAGATCATTTCTATTGAGTGTGCCGCAGCATTTTAATACTCCATGGCTTAATTCTCTGTCGGTTGCTGCTTTCAACGGGCCGCTTTCCTCCCCAAAGTTGTTCCTGTCGGATGCTGCAAAGAATAGAGCCGATCCACAGCCTGATTTACCTCTTCATTCCACCGCTCTTGTTCCTCCATACTGGATTCCAAGGCTCTGTAATTGATCGTCAGTTCCTGACGGTCCAAAGTCCACGATGAGGAGATAAGCTTGTGACGTACTCGATCCTCTCTTTAAGCCTGTTAAATTCTTAGCTTCATTCTCACCCGATCGTGGATTCTACGGCACCATACATACTCTTCCAGAAGACTGCTGACGTCCAGGCTATTGACCTCTATACAATCCGAACCACGATCCAAACCTTCGGCAACTTTTTCACGCCTCCATTGGGTGGCTTCCTTGTCTGGAGAATCCCAGTCATCGTGAACTTCTCTGACCTTGCCGTCATGGATAAGTTCGGAAATCCGAAAATCGTCTCGTGGCCAGGTGGAGTCAGACGGAACACCCTTCAGTACAGAGCGGAACGCCTCGAGACGAGTCGTTTGAGACAGTGGCATATGATGGCCTCGAGGGTTTGCATTGGAAGCCATTTGCAGACTGCAGAAATGCGGAGATAATAATGAACAGGTTATAAAAAAGATAAGGGGAAACTAACAATATATATTCCACTCATTGTAAATGACTATCAGCCGCTTCTCCTGCGGGTCTGTTACAGTCCCCTAAAAAAGAAACAGGTAAAAATAAAGCGGTCAAACCTTATCCTTGGGTATTTGAATTATAGGCTACTGTAGCGGCCAGACTGCAGTGGAGTGGGTGACATTCCTGACTACGATGCCTAGCTCACTTTCTACTCTACAAAAAGCCGTTTTACATTCGTAACTGCCAAATGGGAAATGATTATATGAGACGTACAATACTGTATTGCCAGAAGCTAATAGAATATGGGGTGGCTCCGGGAGTCTTGAAGCCTATGCAATTTGGCATATTGAGATTGTACTCTGACGATATTTGCCCTGTAGACGTTCCCACTTGAAGTTCATCTCGCACACATAATATTGCTGGCCTAGATTTCACAGCCACTAGCTGGCGACTTCACTGTGTGTTCATTTATTTGAAAGCCTTGCAGAATTCAAGCGAACGCATGCGCAGCCTAGTTATTGTGCTTACTAGCCGCTCGTGTGCTCGGTCGTAGTCTTTGAAGCCAGCTTTCGCGTATCTGCTCCTTCGTTTGCGTCTCCACATGATTCCGAGCTTTTTCGTCGACTTCTTGGGTTTGCTGATCGGAAAGCCACACCGGTTCTGACTCCGGGTATCGCTGGAATTTTCGGGCCTGATGCAGTCGTCCGGTAGCTTTCAATGGCGGTCGGGGAGCCCCGGTCCGTCGGATACGCCCCATGGTAGATCGCACTTGCTGCTGCTGCTGCTGAGAGCGACCCATGGTTGTTCTGGAGTGGGTGGGCTTGGCCGGGAAGCTGAAAATATGGGTGTAATTGTTGATACCGTAGTCGGTACGTTAATAAAGCTATCAGTAGTCTTCACCGTAACATCTGGCTTCCTTATATATAAGTCGGTGTCAGATTGACCGTCATACATCGCAGCATGCTAGTCATGCAGCCGGTATCTTCTAGAGCCAACCGGCTTTTACTTGCGGTTTTCAAGGAGAAGCCATCCAATATTCGACGGTGGTTAATCAAGTGGCTTGATTTATAGATGAACACATACCTCGCAGCAGTCGGATATAACCCGCAGGATTCTCACTGACAAGCCCTCACTTAGGCCGATATCTGTCTCTACACAATACATCTGGGGACAAGCTCGCCTTCACCCCCAGCGTCACGGCGTTCGTTTGAGCCAAGTGAAGTGCAGTGATTCACCTACTAGTATCGATCTCAAAGACATGAGCACTTCGGCCCGCGCAATGACAAGACCAACCCACTCGCCCGTAATTCTGTCATGCGGAATCGCCAGCCAACTCGACTATATTCACAGGAGCAGGGACACAGAACCTAGGTATGTGGGCAATGGTAGGAGATGTTATTCTATTATCCTTTCTTCGATTCCTTTTGCACTGGGAATCGGGTAGTTCCTGGGGGATTTACTGTGGCATCTACGACTGTCTGGACCTGTTACTTAGCACGATGGCTTGTAGTTAGAATGCATATTAGAGCTAGCATCCACAACGCAAAGACTGTGAACGACACCACATTACAATTGTCCCCTTAACTCTGCCGCCTTCGCGGCATGACCACCACCAGTTGTCTATGGAGATAGCATAAATCCAGTGCGAAAGAAGGAGTACTTGGTGATACACTTTATATTGTCTCTATTGCAAAAATGCACGTGCCCATTGCGAGAAAAATCTTGGCAGGCTTGCGCAGACGGAGGTGAAGACCGAGATATAAGGCACCAAAACCTGAACAAGCACAGTAGGACACGAGACGAATAATTGGGAAATGCTTTGGCGTATGCAGCTTCCGGTCCGATATTTTCCACGATTCACGGAGAGGATCGAAGATGCGCAGCGCGCCCTTCATACCGTCCTGGATTGCCAGAACTTGCACCTTTAGGGATAGCAGCAACAGCAGCATCTTTCCACAATCCAGAACAAACTGGAACCAACCGAGAACGCCACAGCGAGCCATGTTGTAGCCAGCATCCGTGGTCCAAGACTGGCAGAGATGCCTGCTTGCTCCAACGTACTGTTGATGCCCCGCGTGAGCAGTTGATACATGATTGTCACCGTCACAGACGCTCCAATGACCAAGAGAGATGACACCTGTCCGTCGTCAGCATGGGCTTAGCATTTCTCTTGTTGGCTTACTGCTGAAGATATGATGGCAACTAGCTTTGCTAACGGGAACCCGACCAGACGGGTGACGACCGCAATGAATGCGGCAATGAACGCCATTACGTAGGCGGCCACGATCCAATGCGACACACGGCGATATCCCTTCAGGACTGGCTGCGTCCAGCCTGCTAAAACTCCATCTGTCTGGCCCAGGCGACTAGAAAGAAGGTCGACTAAGTCAAAGGAAAAGGAGGCACTGGGCCCTGAGCAGTTTAAGAAAGCCTGGACGCCCTGCTTGCCTTCGCAATAACTCCACAGGCCGACCGCGTAGTACTCCGGGAGGAGTGAATGCAGCTGGCCCGCTAGATTCTGAACATGCTCACCGACCTGGCTGACCGTATTCTCTGCCGACCCTGTGATGCTGTCGATGACGTTGCCCTGTTGGAGCAGAGAAGATGAGTCTCCTACTCCAGGAAGATCAAAGGATCTCGCTAGGTTAAGATGGTCTACTTTTGGGAACTTCGTCAGATTGACCTTTGCTCCGTCAGCAACGTATCTCGGCGCGCGGGTGGTGAGGAAATCACCTCCATGAAGAAGAGGTCTTGCGGGGAGGACGTTGATGTGCAAGCGGAAAAGGCCACAGCCAAGCAGATTAACGCCGCGGTGGAGAGTACCAACGGCACAAACTTCAGGAAAGGCAACATGCTCAAGAGTAATGAGGTCCTCTCCGCCTAGTGTCGAGACGTTTGTCTAGGTGAGCGGGTGGGACGCGCCTGTTATGTACACGACAAGATTGTGGTATAAAACTACGCGGTATCTATCATAGGTTGGCGGGAGGCCATGCACAAATGTCCGGCCTTGGTGCGGATATACGACCCGTCCTTTTTCGACGGCATGGCATACGACGTGGTAAACGGTTTGTACCCAGGCCTTTTGGAATAGCCAGACAAGTAGTATATCTAGCGGCCATGGTCGGCATATTTAAGTTAGATATGGCCAGTCCACCGTCAAGGTGGCCGATCGTTGCTTAGAGGAAAAATGTTTCTCTGCCTGGCGGACACTGAACAGACTCGTCCTCTGAGCTGCCCACCAAAAGCTGAGGTACGGTAAGTAGATGGATTCTCATGTCCCCCAAGCAGGACTTACGGCTGATCTACGTGAAGATTTATCTTTAAGTGGAGAGAAGGGTCGCTCCTCTTTTCTGAAAATAACCCCCTTGTCCATGTCCGAACGAACGGTCAAGACGGCAAGTCACCTAGCCAACTTTATCAAGACGTGGTGCCCCTATACTGTCATTATGATGACTACTAGGTGCTTTATAGACTCGGTGACTACCATATGCTCCCTCAGTCATGTACTGACGAGGCTGTCAGCCACTCCCTCTCACCTTCCCAGGTACGTACGGGCTCATACATTTGTGGTTAGTTTATGCCATCTACAGATCCTTGTCCGTGGAGAGAGAAGCTTTGGATCTGACGAGCGCCAAGAACGTCTAGTGGTCCACTTCGTGCAAGTGCCTGGAAAATGGACCCAATCGAAAGCTGTTCCTCATCTTTCCCTGTCCTGTCCACTGAGTCGTCCGCTTCATTGCAGCAAAATTCCATGGAGACGATAACCACAGAGGCACAGCAGCACGACCCAGATCCTTTAAACACCATGAATATACAGAGCGGTGGCTCGCCCGATACGCGTACAAATAAACCCTTGATACCAACCCCTGACCAGACCCTGAGGCCGAGCGATCGAAGCGCAGCTGATACCCTGCCGGTCACATTTCAGTCAGATCCTTCACGTTCAGAAGCATTCACTAGCGACGGAAGGGACAGTCCAACGACGGCTTCCAGTCTTGGCTTGCTGAATTTGCCTTCAGACTTACTCCCTATCGTTATTGAAACGGGGCCGCCCACCATTGGTTCCGAGGCTTCCCCCGCTCCATCTGTCCTAACGGCTGTAGATGATATGCTTTCAGAAATAGACATGGATACAGTGAGCCCGCTGGATTGGATAATGACACCGGAGTCAGATCGCTCACTTTTAACTGGTTGGAATACTCTCTCTGCGACGGACGCACTCCCTCTAGGCTTCGCTCCAACTACAACGGCCACACCACTAGTAGAGACTTTACCAGCACCTAAGAAAAATATTGCCGTATCTATTCCGACAGGTTGGAGCAGTCCAAACCAAGAAGACAGCCTGGATCAAGAAGCTGGGTCAGCCGCACACATAGGACCTGTGGAAGACCCGTCTCAGCTTCACCGCACATCGTACACACATCGACTGTCACACAAACAACCAGCGATATCGACACATACTCAAGCGGCCGGTGTGCCGCCATGGAACTGGGAAAAGTTTTCTGTGACTAGACCGCCTGCAAAGCCGCTTATCACACCTCTATTCTCTGGTCATGACCACATGGTTTATAATGGAGGATCGCTGAGTGCCATAACTGAGGGAGAGACCCTTATTAGTTCTTCCACACCTACAGTTCTTAGTGTACACGATGGAGGTGGCTTTGTTCTTCATCCAAGCAACATGCCATCCTCCCTATCGAGGAATTTCGCCAAGACTGAGGAGATATGTGACTCCGGATTGTGTGGGACGAGACCTGCCAGGCTGATGGAGGAGAACAGACCTACATCAACGTCGATAAATATGGCCCCTGAAAAACCTGCAGTCACAACCAACACGCCCGCAGTTCCTCATCACCCAGAACGGAGACCTTCAACGACTACGACATCCGATACCGCGACCAGCTCTGTTGATACTGATTCCCTTTTGGATCAACTTCAGAGAGCCCGGCTCATATCCAGACAAATCGTGGGCGTTGTAATAGGAACAGTGTTTGCGGGAGCTACGGTTTTCATTCTGACGTTTATACTGCATCGTTTCGTGTACCGGTGGGTCGGCAGGCGACGCACAGGCGTGATCTGGATCGGCCGTGAACCAAACACAAACACGGGTTTACGCATAGAGTTGCCCCCGCGCAGGCCNTGACATTCCTGACTACGATGCCTAGCTCACTTTCTACTCTACAAAAAGCCGTTTTACATTCGTAACTGCCAAATGGGAAATGATTATATGAGACGTACAATACTGTATTGCCAGAAGCTAATAGAATATGGGGTGGCTCCGGGAGTCTTGAAGTCTTTGCAATTTGGCATATTGAGATTGTACTCTGACGATAATTGTCCTGTAGACGTTCCCACCACTTGAAGTTCATCTCGCACACATAATATTGATGGCCTAGATTTCACAGCCACTAGCTGGTGACTTCACTGTGTGTTCATTTATTTGAAAGCCTTGCAGAATGCAAGCGAACGCATGCGCAGCCTAGTTATTGTGCTTACTAGTCGCTCGTGTGCTTGGTCGTAGTCTTTGAAGCCAGCTTTCGCGTATCTGCTCCTTCGTTTGCGTCTCCGCGTGACTCCGAGCTTTTTCGTCGACTTCCTGGGTTTGCTGATCGGAAAGCCACACCGGTTCTGACTCCGGGTATCGCTGGAATTTTCGGGCCTGATGCAGTCGTCCGGTAGCTTTCAATGGCGGTCGGGGAGCCCCGGTCTGTCGGATACGCCCCATGGTAGATCGCACTTGCTGCTGCTGCTGCTGAGAGCGACCCATGGTTGTTCTGGAGTGGGTGGGCTTGGCCGGGAAGCTGAAAATATGGGTGTAATTGTTGATACCGTAGTCGGTACGTTAATAAAGCTATCAGTAGTCTTCACCGTAACATCTGGCTTCCTTATATATAACACCGTGTCGGATTGACCGTCATACATCGCAGCATGCTAGTCATGCAGCCGGTATCTTCTAGAGCCAACCGGCTTTTACTTGCGGTTTTCAAGGAGAAGCCATCCAATATTCGACGGTGGTTAATCAAGTGGCTTGATTTATAGATGAACACATACCTCGCAGCAGTCGGATATAACCCGCAGGATTCTCACTGACAAGCCCTCACTTAGGCCGATATCTGTCTCTACACAATACATCTGGGGACAAGCTCGCCTTCACCCCCAGCGTCACGGCGTTCGTTTGAGCCAAGTGAAGTGCAGTGATTCACCTACTAGTATCGATCTCAAAGACATGAGCACTTCGGCCCGCGCAATGACAAGACCAACCCACTCGCCCGTAATTCTGTCATGCGGAACATCGCCAGCCAACTCGACTATATTCACAGGAGCAGGGACACAGAACCTAGGTATGTGGGCAATGGTAGGAGATGTTATTCTATTATCCTTTCTTCGATTCCTTTTGCACTGGGAATCGGGTAGTTCCTGGGGGATTTACTGTGGCATCTACGACTGTCTGGACCTGTTACTTAGCACGATGGCTTGTAGTTAGAATGCATATTAGAGCTAGCATCCACAACGCAAAGACTGTGAACGACACCACATTACAATTGTCCCCTTAACTCTGCCGCATTCGCGCCATGACCACCACCAGTTGTCTATGGAGATAGCATAAATCCAGTGCGAAAGAAGGAGTACTTGGTGATACACTTTATATTGTCTCTATTGTAAAAATGCACGTGCCCATTGCGAGAAAAATTTTGGCAGGCTTGCGCAGACGGAGGTGTAGACCGAGATATAAGGCACCAAAACCTGAACAAGCACAGTAGGACACGAGACGAATAATTGGGAAATTCTTTTGCGTATGCAGCTTCCGGTCCGATTTTTTCCACGATTCACGGAGAGGATCGAAGATGCGCATCTCGCCCTTCATACCGTCCTGGATTGCCAGAACTTGCACCTTTAGTGATAGCAGCAACAGCAGCATCTTTCCACAATCCAGAACAAACTGGAACCAACCGAGAACGCCACTGCGAGCCATGTTGTAGCCAGCATCCGTGTTCCAAGACTGGCAGAGATGCCTGCTTGCTCCAACGTACTGTTGATGCCCCGCGTGAGCAGTTGATACATGATTGTCACCGTCACAGACGCTCCAATGACTAAGAGAGATGACACCTGTCCGTCGTCAGCATGGGCTTAGCATTTCTCTTGTTGGCTTACTGCTGAAGATATGATGGCGACTAGCTTTGCTAACGGGAACCCGACCAGACGGGTGACGACCGCAATGAATGCGGCAACGAACGCCATTATGTAGGCGGCCACGATCCAATGCGACACACGGCGATATCCCTTCAGGACTGGCTGCGTCCAACCTGCTAAAACTCCATTTGTCTGGCCCAGGCGACTAGAAAGGAGGTCGACTAAGTCGAAGGAAAAGGAGGCACCGGGCCCTAAGTAGTTTGAGAAAGCCTGGACGCCCTGCTTGCCTTTGCAATAACTCCATAGGCCGACCGCGTAGTACTCCGGGAGGAGTGAATGCAGCTGGCCCGCTAGATTCTGAACATGCTCACCGACCTGGTTGACCGTATTCTCTGCCGACCCTGTGATACTGTCGATGACGTTGCCCTGTTGGAGCGGAGAAGAGGAGTCTCCTACTCCAGGAAGATCAAAGGATCTCGCTAGGTTAAGATGGTCTACTTTTGGGAACTTCGTCAGATTGACCTTTGCTCCGTCAGCAACGTATCTCGGCGCGCGGGTGGTGAGGAAATCACCTCCATGAAGAAGAGGTCTTGCGGGGAGGACGTTGATGTGCAAGCGGAAAAG